TCCTTTTTAAGTAAGATTTCATAATTTTATAACAATTTGCTTAACTTTGCAGAGAAAATAATATAGAAATCGTCAAATCTATATCCGCAGGGTTGAAAGATATAGTAGCATATAAAGTCGGAATCAGTGCAGTGTGCTCAGTGTGATGAATTCCTACTTGTATGTAAGTACAAATGTATAATGTAACGAAGGAAGTAGTGGTAATTAATATTGATTTAATACGATTTTTGCAGAGCTGATTGGGTTATGCAACTGTAAACTTGTTTATGTGCATAAAGAATCAAATTCCCTATTACAGACCTAAACTTCTTTATGCTTGCTGCTGAAGTACTCTTTGGGTTCGAACTGAGTCAATCCAAAGGCATTAAAATAGCAGGCCTTGGCTGGTTTTCCGTTTTATCTTGAGCCATAAATAGGACTCTTCTCGGTGTGGTCTTTCTTTTTGATTGATGTCTGCCACGTTTAAAGCCTAGACTTTCTAGTATACGAGGTGTGCTTCGTGTGCAGGGGTTAAAAACAATAGCAAATTTGAAATGCCTTTTAAAAACTCATATTGAATATATAAAAATCTTTTATTTAGTGAAACCAAGTTGCTTGCCAAAGCGTATCATCATCAAAATAAGTTACTGACTCTATATACGCATCTTATTCGAAATCATAAGACCTTTCAAAAATGATCAGTCGTGTCTTCCAAATAATAAGGCCTTTCAAGAAAATGATCAGTCGTCTGTTCTAAATAATAAGGCCTTTCAGGAAAATTATCAGTCGTCTCTTCCAAATAATAAGGCCTTTCAGGAAAATGATCAGTCGCCTCTTCCAAATAATAAGGCCTTTCAGGAAAATGATCAGTCGCCTCTTCCAAATAATAAGGCCTTTCAGGAAAATTATCAGTCGTCTCTTCCAAATAATAAGGCCTTTCAGGAAAATGATCAGTCGCCTCTTCCAAATAATAAGGCCTTTCAGGAAAACGATTAGTCGCCTCTTCCAAATAATAAGGCCTTTCAGGAAAATGATCAGTCGCCTCTTCCAAATAATAAGGCCTTTCAGGAAAATTATCAGTCGTCTCTTCCAAATAATAAGGCCCTTGATAATGATCATCATCACCATCAGTCGATGTAGTAGTTGTATTTGTAGTGTGAAGAGGTTTTTTGGGCTCAACAACTGCTTCAAGGAGTTGCAATATTTTCTGTTGTTTTGCTATTGAATCCTGATAAACTTCAATGATCCGGTCAAACATATCGTCATCGCGTTTTTTTTTTTTGTATTTTCGTTGGCTTCACAAATCCCATAGAGTGCTACAAATAGCAGAACCGCGACAGACTTCATTATAAATTGATATTCAAGTGTGCTGTCATCGAAATGGATATTAATATTTATAGAAATGTGGACGCTGTATCTAATAAGCATAGTATATTGATTAGACGTAGTAGAATCTTGTTGAAGTTGAGCATAAAATGAATAGATGCAATAAAATTGTTTAAATATGTGGTAGAGAATGCAACACTATTTCATACACACCGATATCTTGTCTTACTGGCCTAACTTGTGGATTGTTGTATCTATACCTGAATACCAACAAATGTTCCTACAAATCAAAGAAAAATATTGGCGCTCCCACCATTTTATGTACGACGTTGGTTTCAAAATGGGGGGGGGGGGGGATTTAATTTCTTTTGGCATTTCCATCATATCCCTGGAATCATTAAACAATTTTTTATAAATTCTACACGAAAGCAGAACATAATTTCTTGAATTGACTTCATCAGGCGTCTCGATCATTGAAATTACCTTAACGTGGTGATGCCAGTATTTGAAGCTCTGCAAATAGTATTACAATAAATACTACAAAAGAAAAATAAATAATATAAAAGAAAAATCAACCTCTTTTTAGTGGCAGCGAATATAAATTTGTTATACAAACCTTGGAGTGCCTTGAGCTTTCCCAACCTACAAATCAGATAAAACGGGAGTATTGATGGAAAAAATAGCGTTTTGTTTTCATAATACATACTTTTAGGTTTATTATTTATCATTAACACTATTACTTTATCACAAATATTTTAAGCATTTTTACATAGATACTTAGTTACAGGCTTACATAGGCTTAGTTATTTACATGGTTTTTACGTTTTTAGGCTCCTGCGCTCATTATACTATTTTGTCTATAAGTATATGCTGTGTTCGGCTTCAAAATTTCACTACTTTATATCTACAGCTTGGGGACATACATGTGAGTGTTTAACGTGAGGAAGTTAATGATTTATATTCATTGTTCAATTCAATGTAACTCAGATTTCATTTTCCAATACATATGCTTACGGATCCAAAACGGAAGGTGATTTCACGTTTTGGACACGTCTCTGCAATACTTTATATTGTTTTTTTTTGTTTTTGATGTTTTATTTATGTCTAAACATTATTATACGCACATTACATTTTCATATATATACTATAGGTAGCAATTTTAAATTGTATTTTGTTTTTGCATTATTTTCGTATTGTTTTTTTTTTTAATTTTTGTTAAGAGGCATAACTGAGAGCAAAGAGAAAATGATATGATGAACATTTGAACACTTATTGTAGTTTAGCCCTTGTCTTGATATTTTAAGTTCTGACATAATCGTACGTAGTCGCATTAAAGTCTATTCTATGCATTTTTGATATGCTAATGCCTTGATAACAATTGTTGATTAGCTGGGAAAAGGAAAGGACACGCCAACTATTTGAACTGTTCTCCCCAAATCTGGTGCGGATATTTACAAAAATTTCCTGTAATGCATCGTTGTACAGCTATTCGAATTATACTCCAATATACCGATATACCGGTACTTCAAATCAATAACAGTATTAGTTGCCCTTGACAATAGTAGTAAATTACAATTCGTTGTATGTTCAAGTCAAGTAACAAAAAACCTAAACATAATTCATTAAATTCAAGATCGAAGTCGAATGCAATTCGATAAGTTTAAAGGACGGCTGCGACTTGGTCAGCAGTTTAACCATAACTCGGCAGAGTTTGACATTTTCATACAGAATTTAAAGACTACAAGTAATTTTTAAATCATGCCCTAATGCTGACGATAGTGCCGCGATTCGAACGAACTCATATTCTGAGCTTATAGTTTTCACATTTGAAGTATTGAGGATTTGGACGTCAATTAAACTGAAAATGGAACGCAAAATGATTTCTAATGCCGAGCAGCACAAAAATGAAATCGGAATTGTGATGCTAATAGAGTTAAATTGCTTCAAGAACTGAACCCCATCTAATAGGGAAAGCGTGAAAAAAGAAAATGGATTTCATCCACAGTTTTGAAGATGTTATTACAAAAATTGAATAGTATTTGTTCAACAAGAAGTCTCTATAGTATATTGAGTAGTGCAGCTGTCTGAAGGCTATAGGGCCTAAGATGTTCTAATGTGTTTATCAAAATGTCATGGCCGGTTGGTAAGTGCTTGACAATTGTCTGCGTTTCAGCCAAATGGCTTTGAGGCCTATAAAGCAGTTGAGTCAGCTGTTAGGCGCGGCAAGGTTTGCAACATAAATCATTTTATTAGCTTATTAAAAACTTTTCCATTTATTGTCATCATTTTGCGCTATCGTGCGCACAAATCTGTGTATATCGGACCAGCGCCCACACACAGTATGCACCCGGACCCTAGACCCAGCCAGACCCAGATCCATCCCCGTCCCCGTCCCACACACAGCCACAGTCGCAGCCCACGCCATTTTTATTGTGTCTCATACCCATTCAATCGTTCGTGTGCGCTTATTAGGACGCTCGATTTGGGTTGCTTTGGGTTGGGTTTGGCTGGGTTTGTGGTCGGAGGCTTCGCATATTTTTCTAAACTTTTCTTTATTGCTCACTTGTTGGCTGCCACTGGCTGGCTGCTAATGGCAACAACGACAGCGTTGGCGTCTGGTCACATTTTGGCCATGCACATTAAACTCAAATCTGCTGGATGACCGTGTTTTTACTCATTTGTTCTTTTTGTTGTTGGTGTTGTTGTTGTTATTTTGATGTTGTTTTTGGTGCGTGTTTAAAAGTTAAATAATGGACGCGAACGCTGCACAAGTTTTTCGCTGGGCACTGGGCACGCAATGACGCAAGACGTGTCCAATATAACTTTTCATTTGGTTTCCGGTCCCTTATGCCTTGCCTCGCGTCTCTCTCTCTCTGTCTCTCTCTCCCTGGAGATGGAGAGAGTGGTTGGGTAATTCGATAGCTTTGATCTTCTGGGTCCTATATTTGCATTAATTTGGTCACCAACAGCTCAAATAGTTGCGGCCTTTGGTTTTGGAGGGGGATAGGGAAGATGTTTGCATAGCTTAGAAAAAGAGCCTAGTAGAAAAAGGATATGTTGGAGGATATGTTTTGCCTTTGCAGCGGAACAGATTTAACAACTTGCTTGGAAGAACGCGGCTGCTGGGCCAGCAATTCAACTATACCGATTACATAGAGTACAAACTACTACAAATACATTTACACTAACATGTACAATAACATACATATACAAACAAACACATACACTCTTATTGCACTACATTGACTATGACGGAACATCTCCTACTTAGTGTGTGCCACGGTTGCCACTAAAAACTAATCAAGAGCCTAAGTACTATGTATGAACGAATCCATCATAAACATTTACAATAACATTAAGAAGGACAGTATGTATAGTATGTACTATCTCTTTAAGTTTTCAAAAAAATTGTTTGTAATGGAAAAATTATGGTTGTGGTGACAGTTAACCTAGATGAGTTCACATAGGAATTAGCGTTAAGTATGACAGCTTAGTTCTTAACTCAACTGTTACTCATACTTGCAAAAGCCTATTGCAGGATAAATGAGATTAGCTGAGATCAAGCTTTGATTTGAATATGTTCAGAAGAGGAAAGTTCGTTTAAGATTGTATTTACAATGGATCCATATAGGAAACGTAAATCAATATAAGAATTTATTTTGAGCCAAGCAAAATGTATTGTGAAGGACAGAATATTATGTGACCCCCAAAGAGGTACGACAATGATAAAATTATTATTTCGTAAGCCCTAAAACCCGTCGTATAATCTTGAAGTGTGGCAACCGTGTTAAGTAAGAACATACTGTTCAGATTAGGTCTAAGCTTAATGGTAAAATTTTAATGCTAAGTACAAACGGGGCTGCTTGGACTCATTACCCGCTCCCCGCACTCAAAATCCACATTGCGTGCTAATTACTCCAGAGCTCTAGCTCTTATCAATTGGTTGTTGTGCACCAGTCTTTAGTTAATGCCAGGAATTGTTGCCAACGCCCATAGCTTAGACGCAACTCTCCGGACCGGGCAGAGTGTCTGTGATGATGTGATTGCGTCCAGCATTCGATTTCTGTGTGATCGTTGTGAGTTGCGAGGGCGAAAGATTGCTGGTGCCGCCACCACCGATCCCCATCACTGAACCCAGTCCCAGACCCTTGGGCAGCGTCATGTGTGTGGGTAGAGGGGGAGCGGCTGCTGCCGCCTTGCTCAGATTGTAGTCAATCAGGCTGCTGGTGGTCAGGTAGTCAGCAATGCTGAGCTGCTCGCCGGACACCCGCTGCTGCAAACTGTGTCCGGGCAGTGCTCCCGACGTCGCTGTTGAATTATGCGGTAGCGTATGATGCATATGGGAGGCATAATGACCGCCATTGGCCAGCGAGCTGTGCAGCAGAGAATTGCTGGCTGAGTTGGCAGTGCTGCCTGCAGAGCTGAGGGTGCTGTTGCTGCCAGCACCGCCGACACCGGCACCACCACCGGCGTTGTAGCTGCTACCAATATTGAGGCCCAACTGCTCGTAGCGACTAAGCGAGGGCATGGCGTCGTAAAGAAGCGGCCCGGCTGACTGATAGCTTTTAGCCGCCACAGCTGAACCGCCCTGGGCGACGCTGTCCACGCTCTCCAGCTTTAGGGTGCTCGACTGCGAGGGCGGGCTGTGAAGGTGCGGCGCATTTATGTCCTGCAATAAGCCAAATGGTTAGTTGACGTTGCATTCACTTCTTGTACGGTTTTTGTTTTGATATTTGTTTTTCCAACTTACATAATCCGCTTGCGTAACGGCAGCAAAGTCTGTTTTATTACCCGCAGCATTCCCGCTTGATACAGCAGTGAGGCCATTGCCCGAGTTGCCGCCACTGCCGCCACCAGCAACGCCCATAAATAAACCACTCGGCCGATTTCCCAGAGGCGATGATGTGTCACTGCCAGTTGCACTTTTTTGCGCACTCAATATATCCGGCTGCTTTTCAATGCCCTGCTTCAGCGTGTAGGCCACAACGAGGCGTTGATGACCGGCACCTGTTTCCAGTGGCGCCGTCACAGTCACGTCCATGCCTGCAAGTTGGGGCAACACTTTAGTATTACTCGTATATATCCTTGGTACAGTGAATGCTCTCAAATGGAAAACTCTTACTTTAATACCCACTCTCTCTATCTCTCTCCTAAAAACAATATGATAAATTATATTTAAAATCATACAAAAATCTTCAACATACTGATCCCACATGCTTATATACTTACGTATATGCTTATATACTTATAGCATTTCAAGCATAACAAGATCTACAATTCCTCATTCTACGTGATACAAATGACCGAAAACAATGTAATTTTACACTATTCGGTGATTTAGAATTTATCGTTCCGATTTCGCTGAGTGTAGTTTTCGAATGTAGTTTACAATTAAACGCTTGCTTACTTACCCAAATGCTTGTCCTTGTCATCACACATGTTGCGGCCGCCTTGGCAGCGTCGCCGGCGCACGGCAATGACAACCACAAAGAGGACGGCTATGCCGACAGTGAAGAGCGTTCCAGTGAGCAGAGCGGCCAATGGCAATATGGAGAGTCCCATGCGTCCATCTGCAAATGGCAAGCATAAACAGCAGCGGTATAGTAAGAGTCAACAAATACATTTATAGCTACGGTTACAGTTACGGCTTTGGCTGCTTGGCTGGCGGTCGTTGGCAGCTGTGACAAGCCAATAAACTCGATGCACACTTGAAAGTTGCACGCACAGCGCTTTTTGTCAGCGTCCGCAAATTTATGTCTGCCTCCCCTCCTCCCACTAACCACCCGGCAATCCACGGCCATTGGCAACTAAGTTGACAATAAAACGCACGCCGCACGTCAAGTGGACATCGTCACGTGAGTGCGACCAGAGCGCGTAGGGGCGCGCGTAGTGGTGGTGGTTGGAGCTTAAATATTTAGCCAACTATAGCATTTGCTAATGCTTAAATGTAAATTTCAATTAAAAGCCGTTTGGCATTTCATTTTTGTTGCGAGCGCGTAATTGAATATGCATTACATGGTCATAAATATTGCGTATACGCAGCATGTACGGCAGCTGGATACGTTGCCATTTTGCCTGGCTGCCACACATGCCGCACCGCCATACATTTAACATTCAACAAATCATGTGCGCCTGCGGATATGCAACACAGAATTTCAATAAGCAAACACAAAAATTGTCGGCAACGCCTGTATGTGTGTGTGTTGTGGGTGTGTGCGTACATGTGTGTGTATTAGGTTGGCAAAGAAGGGGGTGGGCGCAGTAGCGCCTGTTACGACTGTTGCTAATTTATAAACCTGTGCCAGTCACCCCATCAGCCGTCGGAAGCAGTCAGAAGCCGTCGTCAGCGTCAAAGTTGCAAATCAATAAATATTTGGTTTTTTTATTTCAACTTTTTTATTTTTATTTTTGCTTTTCTTTGCTTTGCTTTGCCAAATGTTGACGAAACGACGCCACGGGCGAAATTGCTCATTTATGCATGGCTGCGTTTAGACCTGCAAACACACACACACACACACACACAATTGTGTCCTTACACATGTATGTGTCATTGATTTGTACATACTCGTAAATGCGATGTAATTGTTGGCACATGACTTTTAAAAACATTTACGAACATATAAGTTTACGCATCTATAAATATATTTCCGTTTTGCATAAAAGCCGGGCACGCAGATGTTGCCCGCGAGCCACTGACAACCAATCTGGGATATAGAAAATGATTTAATTTGGAATGCGTTCACATACATGAACACGCAAGAATGGAATTTAATTTAGTATTGTAAAAACCGTGCTGCAAGTAAAAGGCAATAAGGATTAAGGCGACTGTTGCACCTTACCGCCAGCAATTATTTATCTACCATTTTGATAATGGATAAATGTACATAATATCATCTCTTTTAAGTAGTACAGAAAAGTAATTGATTTTTGCCAGGATCAGATATAACAGAGCAGTGCATAAGATCACTTCCGAAGCCTTTTCTCTGCGACGGCAGATCGAAGGGCGCATAAAGCGTTTCCCTCCTTAACAGAAAAAGTATTTATTTATTTTATTATGATGCTCAATTATGGAACATCTCCGGAGCCAATATTAAGCTACTTAAGATAGAAGTTCATTTAAGAAATCATGCTTTTAGTTCCGAACAGAGGCAACCAAAGCCAACAATAAATTTAGTTTTCTTTAATCCTTTTATTACAAAAATATTTAATACACAACAATTTGCAGTTATTTCCGAAATGTCAGTGGCTTATATTTTTCTCTTGAAAAAAGAAGAGCGCATCAATTTGCCAGTGCATTATTCATTCATATTGTTGGCAGTGCATTTTTAATGCTTTGTTCAAGAGTGTGAATAAATAAACTTTGGCAAACATTTCACCTTGTTAAATGCAAATAAAGCTCTGCATTCGTTGCGAGTAAATGTAATTGCATTCCTGCCCTCCACCGCACATGAACCATTCTGAACCATTTTCATTAACAGACTTCAAACCGAAAGTCCATGGCTGGAAATGGAAACCCATGGCAAGAAGCTTAAAAAACACAAAGGCAAGCAATCAATTGCCAAAATAAAATGCACATACACGAGTGTGTATGGAAACGAACATGAAGACAATTGAAACTGATAGCAGCAATAAGACGGAATGAAGCAGGAAGAAGAGGAAAAAAATGTAATTTAAATATAAGTAGAGCGGCGTAATGAAATTTTCACACTTGTGCAAATATTTACCAATATGAAGAATGGGAATGGGAGTGGGAAACGTGCAGGGGATGAGGCATGGATGCACATGCCCCAAGTTAAGCAGATAAGCCAGGCAACCAGAGTACCAGCCTGAGAACCAACCTGTGAACCGCAAAAAGCGTCTCATAAGCCAATTGTTTGTACGAGCATCGTTCGAACAACCAACTGGCTGGCTCGTCTTATAAGCTTAATTCGATTTAATGCTCCCGTTTGAGATATAAATGATTCGTTGAAATGATGAAAAAGTGGATTGGTTAAAATGTATTGGGAATACGCGTTTCAGCTCACATGTGGCTCCGCCAAGGACTCCAGCTCCGACCATGGTCTGAGTTGGGAATGCGTTTACATTTACACAAAGTAAGCATAAATAAAATGTTGTAGCCGCTGCCTGTGTGCGGTAAGTGTAGCGCCCGCTATGCCAAACAATGTAGGTGGAAGCCCATACTCATTTCCAGGCCAGACCCCGACATCGTCCTCATTCTTATCCACATCGTCCTCATCGCCTATCGCTCGAGCTGCCGTTTTCATCATGGGCCGCAGTCGTAGCCACAGCCGCTGTCGTTGTTGTTGTTGTTGTTGCAGCCATGATGGCGGCGGCGGCGGACGCACTTCCTGCCAGCCAGTCAGCCAAGTTTACACACTTCGATCTGGTACACACACACACACACACGCACACCAACTTACATATGTATATATAAAATATAATTTTACTTTGCTCTACGTACTTTGTGTGCTTTTGTGTGTGTGTTGTTGTTGTTGGTGCTGCTATGCAGCAGCATTGTCTTTTGGGATATTTTATTCAGATAAGACATGTTTAATGTATTTTTTCTTGTCTTACAGTAATCGTTTATATTTTGTTTTCTGCGCTACTTTCTCACTCTAACCCCAGCTCTCGCGCCCCCTCCCTACTCCACCTGGTTGCTGTGCTCAGTGTCTGTTTCGTTTCCGTCGGCAGCGTGTGATGCGTCCTTGTTACCTTGAAGTTGGCAATGGCGGTAAATAAGTTTCATCTGTGGCTACGTGCTAGAGTACCTACAAATACATATACACGTATACATATTTGTGTGTATGTTTTAGTCCTGGCATGTTGTGTATGGCAGGATAATGTAACTCTTGGGGAATCTCTGTGTCAGTTTAGCATAACAAGATATTTCTTTGCATTCTCTTTCTTTCTTCCTTTTTTTGTAAAACACGAAATTGATTATATTTACATTAATGTGGCGTCAACCGATGCCATTGTAAAATGCTGCAAAATGTCTGTGGCATGCAGCTGTCTTGCCACAACCTTGCCACAACCCACCACCCCCTGCCCAGGTGTCGACGAAAAGCTTTTAAATTTGCCAAGGCGCAAATATTGACACTTGACGAATATTGCATATTGCGCTCTATCTTGCCAGCGCCCACATATCTGCAAGTACCACAAACTATGTATAATCATATCCTTATATATGTATTTAGTAGGCATAATCGAGTGATGTCCTTGTAACGCGATGCGGTCTTAAATAATGGCCAATCAACTATATATGTATATGTGAGTGCGACTTGTGTGCATTAAAGAGATGATTGAGTGGATTTGTTGAAGGTTGCTTATTACTGATTGGCAGTTCCACAGCACAAAATATGCAGTTGTGCAGATAAGACTGTAGTCTGGCAGAGAATTAAGTTGAAGGTGCTTCCCATTTAATAATAGTAATCATAGCCATCGGGCAAGTTCAGGCGATATTAGAGGCATTTGGTAAGAGCACTTTATTGCAGGATTACACAATTAAGTTAGTTGTCAGTACATGCTGATCAAGAATGCATATTATTTATTCCATACAAACCTACGGGTACAAAATTGGAAAAACGGGCCTGAAACAAACAGTAATCAAAGGCACTTCTTGTTTCTTCGAAAAATCTGGTCTAATTATGATTGTATGCCGGGGAAATATAACTGAACATAACCATTTATTTGCCAGCATTTTTTTGAGAATTAAGAAAAACCGAGCGCCTAAAAGTCTTCACAACAAGGAGAGCTCTTACACATTCGACAATTTGAGAAGGCGAGTAGATATAGCCACACACACAGGCACACACATAGGCACACACATAGGCACACTTGAATATACATACATAGGCACACATATCCACACGTAGATGCTCATAAAAGAAAACACGCAAAAATTCGGGTAGGAAAAGAAAGATTTACTTAAACACCTAACATAATCAATTAAACCAATAATGAAATTGTCGTCAATTTCTATATAATATTGGTGTATTGAATTAGAAGGGAGCTTGTGTGGGGAAAATCAATTTGTAAGTTTAGTTTATTGTCAATTAAGATCGAATTATTGTGCACACAGTGTGATAACAGTGTGCACAATCATTAAACAAAGTACTTGAAACGCAGCTCAAAATTCGAGCTAAAATGTTATAGAAAAGTTTATTGTTAACAGCGTATTACAAGTATACTTATAAAACAGCCAAAGAAAATGAAACCCGTTTTAAAAATTCAATTTACTGTTCATTTGAAAAGAAACTAGCGACAGGCATTTGCTTAAAAACTTTAATACAAAACAATGTAGTTTTTCAATTTGTGTTATAAATAATTTCCAATGTTTTTCCCATTTTCTACGCAATCCATTTAAGGCAATCCCCCTGGGAAAGCAATTTTTCAATACGTACAACCGGCAAAATTGCGTGTAGAACATGCAGTTTCTTAAACGCCGCTCTCCTAAAGCTTAAGTTTTTCCTTAGCTCGTTTCAAGCGCGAGAAAAAGATGCAAACTTTCAAAGAAAATTCGCGTCAAAGTTGCATAACAAAGCATGAATAAGAAATCTTTCCGCCACTACTTTGCTTCACGGCCGATTCTACAGAGCGTTACTGAACGGAACGGTTCGGAACGGAAAGGACGGTGACGGGCACCCAACGTAAACAAAACTCGTTAAATAAAAGAACAATTGTACTTACACACACACACACACACACACACACACTCACAAAAAGAGAAGAAAAAGAAGAAGAAAAAAAACTAAAACGGTTAAGCAGAATATGCAAATACTTGAATGACTTTTTATACCCTGTACCCGTAGGGTAAAAAGGGTATATTAGGTTTGTGCAAAGTATGTAACATACAGAAGGAAGCATCTCCGACCCCATAAAGTATATATATTCTTGATCAGCATGACGAGAGAAATCGATCTAGACATGTCCGTCCGTCTGTCCGTCCGTCTGTCCGTCTGTCCGTCTGTCCGTCTGTCCGTCTGTCCGTCCGTCTGGATGAACGCGAGGATCTCAGAAACTATAAAAGCTAGAATAACCAAAGTTGGCATCCAGGTTCTCCTAGGTCCGAGTAAGGACGAGTTTATTTTATTTTTTGGAATTTTCCCCCCCTTCCCCCGCTACAGAATTTCGTCAATAGCGTCCACATTTCAAATGCTACATTTACCAAACTTTGCACACATAATTTATATATAATTGTCTACTGTTGTATAAAATTTTATTCAATTCGGTCAATTCTAAGAAAAGTTATTAGCAAAACAAATTCTCGCCAGTACAACCCCCACAAACTGCAGCAACAAGTTCGCTCGTCTTCTTCCTCTTTTTGCTGCTGCTATGGGCGCATATAACTCAGTGACGGAAGTTTACCTGGGTACAGGGTATTACACTGTCGGGCTTGCTCGACTGTAGCGTTCTCTCTTGTTAAAGGTGAAATGGTGCTTAAAAAGCAATGAATGTCCCCCCTGCTGAAGTTTTTGCTGATGAGGGGCGGCAACTACGTATAAGAGCGCAGAACTCGCACCTCATGGCAAATACAAATACTCGTACTCGTGCACATTAAACGGGGTAAAATAAATGTAAACTTTGTAGCTTTTATTTTTTTCTTGCATTTTTGTTGCGTTCTTTTATACTTGTATATATATTTATAATTGAAGTTTGCTGCAAATGGAAAATATCGGACAAACAAAAATGCACGCATTTTCCGCACTTCTCACCCACCTGAACGTTTGTCTGCCTCATTGATGGGCACATTTTCCAACACAATGGGCTCCGAACGCCCTTTCTGATTGACGCTGTAGACCACCAAATGAAGCGCTGGATGCGCATCGGGATAATAGTCCATGGGTGTGAGATCTGAAAATGGCAAAGGGCATTAGTTAAATGATGAATGAATTTATGTTTGTGTTTAGTTGGCCAACTACTGGTCATTAATTTAAAAGTTTTGCTCGAAAACTTCATTAAAGTAAACAGCATTTAATTAACACGTCGCATTTGGCCAAGAGTGGCGAGAAAAACTTCAGCTACGGGAGCATAAAATGAAAAGTTTGTGTTTTTTTATGAGCATACAGCGCGCTTCAAAAGTTTCCCTGTTTCTACCGATAGCAGATCATTAAAATGAGATCTGTGTGTGAACTCTTATAGCTATGGCCTGCAATTTCGGCAGTCTGCGTGGCTGCCAATAAGCAACAACATTGGCTTGGCAGCCGGCAGGAATCCTGGCCATAGAAAGCGTCGTTAACACGCTTGTCTAACTAATCGTGACTTTACGCTTCGTTTGACTTTGCAAATAAACTGCACACACGCACACTCAGCCCCTCTCCCACCTCAATCGTCGATAAGAACAACAAAAAAGGGAAAAATCTGCCACTGCATTTGGCTCGGTTGCAACTTTAATAATCAAAATGTGGCTCATTAACTCATGCGGTGGCGGCGCGTTTTTGCCATCAAAATCAAATGTAATAAAATAATTTTTGGCTTTTGGCTGTTTTTGCTGCTGTCTGAGGTGTGCGGGTGTTTGGCTTTTTGCTTTTTGGGTGTGTGTGAGTGTGCATCCCCGATAAATCTTGTTTTTCAACAACTTAATTCAGATTTGTTGCTGCCAAGGCAACCAGCCCACATCCCTTCCCACACCATGGCGCATTGCCATAAAAGTTTTGCTGACTAGCTAAAATTCATTACAACAAACACAGGAATGGAGCGGGGCAGCCTGTGCGGTGTTTTGGGGGAGGAGGCAAAACAACTCGCTGCTAGCCACGACTAATTAATCTGCGTAGCGCTGTGTAGTTAAGACCCAGCTCCAACCCCTATCCCACCTCCCTCTCCCCCTCCCCGACTCCCACTCAGTGCCGGCGTCGAGTAATTTTGCTTGCTTAACTTTTTGCTCAGCTTGTTACTTTGATTTGTTTTTGTTTTTGCGCTAACTCCTATTTCCATTTTGGCTGCCGCAGAAAAGTCGAGTCTTTAGTTTGCGGCTTTTCATAGTGCGGTAAAAATGTTGTAATGGGAGCGCCTTAGCGCTCATTTCTACAAACGGCGAAAGGGCAAGTGCCCTGCAATTTGTATGCGTAGTTTAGCAGTAGCCAACAAATTTGTGCCGCCTCATTTAAATATAATAATTTATAAGCGCATGTAATAAACACTGCCGCTCGGCTGAGTTTTGGCCTCCATGCCATATAGCCCACTATAGCATGATCCGTGGCGTATTGGATTGCCATCAGATTGTTTTAATTAAGCCATGACCACTAGTGATGGGAGAGACAACGTATTCATCGTGGCTTGAAATACTAGCATTGCGATCTCACCGTATATTGATTATTGTAAAAATTAATAACAAATTGCATTCGAAATTCTACAATTTTGATTCTCAGCACATCTGGTGTCTAATCGCATATAATAGAGAAGCTACTTTTATTTAATCAAAATGGAAATTAGCCATTCAGAACACATACTTCATCGAAAATGTATAGTTTTGCTGAACTACTTGTATTTCCTTAGCTTTAAAATAATAAAAATAATTCTTATAGGGTTAATCACATTTTTCGAAATGCAAGCTATAGAACCCTGATAGAATATACAAATAATAATGCTATTAAATCTTGTTTGGAGATTGCAATTCTTAGCCACAACACTAATGTCTACTCACCCGTCAAGTCGATGCGAAAGACGGGCACATCAGCATAAGTGCTGGATGCATTCAGACGCAACTTTTTAGTCTTGGAATCGTAGGCTTCCAAATAGAATTGCTGTTGCAGGCCGCCATCATAGCCGGGCATGCATTCGAGCTCCATGGTTGAGTAGATGATGTTGTCATAGTTATCAAAATTAATGGTGCCACCACCACCACCACCGCCGCCGTTAGCTGAGCCACTGGTGCCATCATAACTGTGCCCACCACCTATTAAGCTCTGGGTGGCCACACCATTATTGAAGCTGTACTCCATGCGTGAGTAGTCGAAATGGGGACGCTGCCAGTCTGCCTCCGACTGCAGTGCTTGCTCCAACTTGGTCTCAGCTGTAGAAAAGGTCACACTGGCCACAAAATCATCATCGCTCACATTATAAACATCATCGTCTTCGTCTTCCTCCTCATCTTCCAGTGAGTCTGTGTCCTGCATCAATGCCAGATCGACATGTTGTCGCTCGGTGGATTTCAGACTTTTTGCATCTGCACTTTCCATATCTTCCTCCTGATAACTTCCGGCAAAGTCATTATCTAGATCGGTTTGCTCATGTGTACCATCGGCCATATACTGAGCATCTGTCTCCAATGCAGTTTCTTCAGCCTCATCATTGTCTACACCAACAGCTTCATCAGCTTCCGCAGCTTCCTCCTCTTCTTCGTCTTCTTCGTCATCTTCATCTTCATCATCGTCGTCCGTTTCAGTTTCAATTTCAGTTTCTTGGCTGGCAATGCCATCAACTTTATGCGGCATAGTTTCGAGATCATCAGAGGATGGGATCACTGCGCTTGATATATGCGTTTTGTCTTCGGTGTCCAATGATGTTCCTGTTGTCTTACTGGCGCTGCTAATTGCTGCTGACATCTGCTGCTGCTGCTGCTGTTGCTTGTAAAACGCTACCACTGCCGGCTTGTTGCTAATTTGCGGGGCATTGGGTGGCAAGCTGTGTGGTTGCTCCAACTCCAGTCTGCTGCTGACATTGCTGTTGCCCATGGTGGCCAAAGATTTGCGTGTGCGCCTGGTGTTCGTCATGTCGTTGTCGTCGACGGCATTGCTGTCATCGCTGCCGCTGCTGTAGCTGCCATTACTGCTGCTGTTGATATTGTTGCTGGCGTCGTTCTCGTTCTCGTTGTCTGCATCTGCTGCCGCTGCTGCTGCTGCTGCCGCCGCTGACATTAATGTTGCCTCTGCTACCAGAGTTGGCTTTTTGCTGGCTGTTGTTGCTGTTGCTGTTGCTGCAGCCTCCATCTTGATGTCATTTGCTGCTTGGCGCTTTCTTCGATTGTTGCTGCTGTTGCTGTGCACGGCAGTCGTTGACGTTGCATAATGATGGATTATGTTGTGCTCATTTACCTCACGTCTGCTCTGTTGCCGTTTCAGCTTCTTCTGCTGCTTTTGCTGCTTCTGCTGCTGCTGGTGGTGGTGGTGGTTCTTCTTCCTGCTCTTCTGCATGTTTTTCTGTCGCTTATTAAAATACTTTGTTGGCAGTTTGCTGTTGTTGCTTTTGACATCGACGCTAGTAACTATTTCTGCTCCTACATGTGACAATGATAAATTTGATTTTGTTGCCTCACTGTTTGCCAGCAATGTCTTCTTCATTGGCTGCCGCTTTCTTCTTGCCGCTCCTGCTGCCATTGCTTCCATTGCTGCTGCTGTTGGCTGCCGCTTTTTGCTTGTTATTGATGCTTTGAGCAACTCACCGCCTGAAACAACAACAAAGCCGGCATTTCGCTTCGTGCGTCGTTTATTGTCCACTCGCTGCTGTTGTTGCTTTGCCGGTAATCCATCAGTTTTGTTATTGATGTAAGCCAGACTGGATGTGGGCAGTGTGGACGCTACTGCCACTCTTCCTACTGCTGCTGCTCCTGCTGTTCCTGCTCCTCCTGATCCAGTGCCTTTTCCGAATCCGCCGCCAGTTCCCCCCATGAGCTGGCGATTCGCCTGCCGCTGTCTTTCGATTTCTGCCAATGTTTGTGACGGCGTAAATGATGTGCGCTTTTTTAGACGCTGCAATTGCTGTTGATTCAGGCGATATCTTTGCTGTTGCTTGTGCTGCGTGGTCTTTGTTGACACATCCTTTTTATGTTGCTGATTATTAGATTTTACATGACCAGCAGTATTGGCGTGGCCAGCGGTAGTGTTTTTATTATTTTTCATATTTTTATTGTTAGATATTTTGTTGGCATGACTAGCACCAATACCAGCACCAGCACTATCAGCATTGTTCGGCTTTCCCTTGCCATTGGAAATGTTAGCCGTGTTGTTGTTATGGCGCTCACGTACGTATTCCAAATGCGGGTAATTCGACTCGTGCCTGCCGTATTGTGTTTGCAACATTTGATTGCCATGCATTGTCGTCTGATTCGATGAATTCAGCGAGGCAGAGGTCACTACATATGGACGCAATGTACAGTTGCGCAACGCACCAGGCTTGGCTGCACCCATAGAAATAACAAGGGCATGGGAAAAGAACGTAAAAGGTAATATAAAATGAATTATAATGAATGAGCAGGAAGGAGTGCAGCCCATTTGGGGAATACGGAATTGTGCTCACCTGCTGGGACCACTTGGAACAGACATGGTTCCGCTTGCTTTCCAATCGCATTGCGTCCCCAACAGGCCAGTGTGCCATAGTCCCGCTCTCCTTTGGGCGTATAGATGAGTTCGCTGATGGTCTCAACTGCAAATAGGCCAGCAAGGAATGCAATTTAATATGGAAACACAATCACTATCTCAGATGCAAGGACAATATGGTATTGTTTAAATAATATTAAATTTCCATTTACAAGCAGGGCCCCTGCGAAGAACGAGAGCTAACAGTGTAGAAGGCCAAGATATGCTGCTCATATCCGTGCTCGTGTGCAAAGGTAAATAAAATAAGTTCTGCTCGCCCAAGCAGCCAACCAACTGGGACAACAGATAACCCAATTTATGTGCACGATATTGATAAAAATTCCATACAAAGCAAGCCCCAAAAGTAAGGAAATTTTTTTAATTTTTCTAAAGCCTGCTCAAGCGCAAATACGAAAATATATGCATATCTATATGTATATATGTATGTATAGTATGTGCACGCAAATTTATCATTGCATATGCATAGGCGTATATGCCTAGTCGAGCATTTAACTGCAGACTTACCATAGCTCTCGAAGTGCGTCTCGTTCGCCTCGACGATGGTGCGTCGCACGTCGCTCGTTGTGGTCGTCGTCGGGTCCTGTATTGTTGCATAGTGGCCAGACGGCACCTCAAAGTGTTCGCCACTGCTCGAGAATGTCCATTCGAAATCGATTTCGGGTGGATCGGAATTGACGCGACATGGTATGGGGACTGCCTCCTCCAAAGAGGCTCCGATGACACTCACGCTGCTGCTGCTGCAGACAGGCGCATCTGTGGGTGACAGGAAAGAACAGAGCGATAGAGACAGAGCCTCAGAGCGTAGAGTAAAATGCAAAATAATGAGCAGCTGCAATTGTCTGCCGGCTAAGCAATAAATGTAAGTGTACCAAATATTTTGTAGCTATTTTTTGTTTGCTTTATAAGTAAAAATGTTCAACAAATCGCTGGGGCAAACATTGTGCTGACAGTTGTCTAAAGAGAAAAGTGGACAACGGTACGCAAATTGACAGCCAAGATTTTCAATTTGAACTGTCAGCTGCCGCCGTTGTCGTTCGGACGGTATAGGTTGCGGAATTGAATACGAATATGCGCAGCTGTTAAGCGATATCCATTGAATTTATTGTTCTCTTTTCACTTACGGCAATGCATACTTTTTCCGAACAAAGTGAATACACAAGCTAAAAGTAAATAACTTCGAAATGATATCTTTATAGTTCTCGTTAAGATTTGTTCATACATATTTTTACATACATAGTATGCAAGCTCTTTGTTTGGCATATGGAACGGAAGCAGATACTCAGATAATATTCAAATATTTCCTTAGGCAATGCAATATTTTCATTAATAATTCATGACGTTAATTACAAAAAAAAGGAACTACGTTTCTATAAATTTTGGCAGAGTAAGTCTCACAAGAGTTAGTTATCAAAGAATACATATTTGGATGCTTGAAAAAGGTGGTACTACTTGAGAGTTGACCGTCGTGAAGCTTGCAAGATTTATCATAAGACAAACGAAAAGCTTGATTAAAGAGAAAACAATGGATTTTTAGAGTTTTCAATATCGTAAATATTTTAACAATTTCGGCATCTACTATTTTCTTAAAAGGTAATGAAAACCCAGTTTTATTTTGCCATTTATTGTTAGCATGTCTCCTAAGACAATTGTATCATTGAACTTATCCACAGCTGGTCCGTTTCCTTTAAGGAATTTGTGAGCACCTTTGTTTTTGTCATCAACTAAAGTTGCTACCTTTTGTTAGGCTTGCTTAGGGCATGATTTATTCAGAGTAAACTCATTGTATCTGCTTACAAGCGATTGAACTTGAACCCAGAACAGCTCCTACGCACACACTAATAACAACAATATATGCAAAAACTTTGCACACAACTTTGAAAACTGTGGCAGGCAAGTGCGCCAAGCTACCTTGTGGTATCAAAAATCCCATCATAAACAACCAGCATATCCCAGAAACAATAAAAGCAACAACCAACAACCAGCAAGAATGGTAGCAATGCTGCCACCACGCCTACATATCGCCCTGAGCCCAGCCGAGAGCCGAGCCACTTGGCGTATTTATAGCATCAAAACATTTTGTTGTTTTATTAAAAAATATTTGAAAAGTTTGCATGTGTCACATGCATAAGCAAAATATTATACGAAATATTTGTTGCTTCTGATGATGACGATGATGGCCCTGAGCTGATGCCATGCCTACTTTGTCGCCCACCTCTCACTAAACACACTCTTTGACTTTCCGTATTTGAATATTTCAGCACAGTTTTGAAAACTTCTCAATTTTTGACAAAAACAAACAAGCCAGAAAACAACACAGCAAACGACAAACAGTCGAAAAAGTTAAAAAAAAAATATGTATTTATATATATATATATGTGTGTGTACAAACATACATGCTTAACTGTTGTCTATATGGTGTGTGTACATATGTATGTATGTGCCTGTGCACTCATAAAAATTGCCATAAATTTATATGACTGCGTCAATTTCACAATCGTAGCTGCCACTTCTGAATGGACATTGTCTGATTAATTTGTGCCAAGATATGAGCGCAACGTATGGCCACAATTCTGATTCTGATTCTGCCAGTACACCCATTTATCAATCATAATCATGGCAAATATCGGCATTGGGCATCGGCTTTGGTTTCAGTTCTGCCTTCCCAGGCATATGCAAATGTTTACGTGGCGTATGCGCGATGTTGCTGCCTTGCACAGTCGGCAATATTTGCGCATGGTAAGGTGTATCTTTCGCAGTATTTACTTTCAATTATCGTAATTATCAAAAGGGTTACGCGAAAGGTAACGGCATCGTGCAATGCAAACAGGCGAAAACAGTTTGCTGATGTCTTCCCTTTTGCCTTTTTTTTGTGTTCGCATCCGTCCGACGTTTGGGAATCGGGGATGGCGCCCATTTTTAATCGCGCAGCTTAATGCCATGCTGACGCAGCAACTTTTATGGGATTATTTACTTTGCAGCTAATTTGTGTTGCCGGTGCAAAAACGTTAACGAAAAAATGAAATCAAAAATAATGGAAAGGCATCAATGGATTCGAATACAAACCAACACCTACATACACTCGAATGTATTTATGATATGTGTATATATCACCATACTTCTTTGGATTTTTCCTGGCTTTTTTTTTAATTTCTGATCCTAACTTTTATAAAAACAAGAATCTGGGTGCATTTAAATGTTTGGAATAATATTGTTGAACCAGTAAAAAAATGCAGTGATGTTGTCTCGAAATGGTTATACTTGTAGATATTCATGAATAAAAACTTACAATAGGCGAACAATATAAAGAATGCCATAGATTCAAGATTATTAATAATACAAATCTATAATATAAAACACAAAAATAGCAATAATAATAAAATAGATTACAACAATTTTAATTGAAACAAATTATTGATATAGCCAAGAATGGAAAATATTCAGATAAAGAGTTCCAAACTGAAGTAATAGGCTAAAAATCAAATTGCTATGGAAATGTGTTGCATGAAGTGCTTCATTTTAAGTTTAAAGATCTATGTCAGTCTACCCTGGCCTCAAAAAAGCTCCGATCGAGTGCGAGTTATAGTGATAACTGAAAATGCTTAAGCCTCCATAAGGCAGAAAAGGACTCTTGATAAGGAACGAAAACACAATGGTTTTATATTTGAAATAAAGAAAATCTGGGTTTGACAACTTTTGTATGAAGATTTATCTTATTTAATTCGTCTGTCATTTGCTTCTGCGTATGAGAGCTATGAGACAAGAAAAACTTGTTCGTCTTTCAACAACATACAAGTATGTAGAATATGCACAAAAATGTTTGTTTTGTAATTACTTATGACTATGGCTGTATGAGCATAACACAGGCAGGCCGCTTAACAAAAATACAAAATACCATTATTAGTAGCCACTCAGAATATAAATGATGGATATACATGAAATGAAAGAATAAAAAAAAACTCAGAATTTTTTGTGACAAAATCAGAATTTGATTTTAAATTTAAATTTAAGCTAGTGTTTTTATTGTTATCAGCATACGTGCTCAATAAAAAAATGAGGATAACATCAACATTTGATTTATAATAAAAGAACACAAAATTGTTAAAACATAACAAAGACATGAAGTGTAATTCGTATGTTTATAAACTAAAAAGTAGCGCGGAACATTACACTTTCTGGATCTCATGCATGGATCTAGCTGCCTTTTATCCCATTTTATGATTTAAATCGAAAATAGGCCCCAAAAAAGGTATCTGAATGCAATGTTTATCGATGCACTTCAATCAGTGAGTCAATCATTCAAAGCGCCTGTAATTTAATATTGTAGTTAAAGCAAATAATGTGTGTAAATTGTTGCGGAATGTGTCGCTCGTACATACTCGGCACGTACAATTAATTAAATAATATGCCTTAACTTAATTTTTAGCAACGTGCTGCAAAATATTTGCATTTAAAATGCCTTTTTTTCAACTGCATTAAATATGCAAAGTAAAAATTAAATTTGTGCATAAACAGACACACACAACACATGGATGTGGCTGTCCTATTTGTTGTAACTGCCGCGTTCTTTTGGCGTCACCAGCTTTGGGCCCATAATTATTAATGGTTTAATAATGACTATGTGTTTCAATAATAAAAGCAGATCATTCATTTTTATTATCCACCCAGAACATGCCGCCCACACTAAGTTGTGAGCTCGGTCGGCCCTCAAATAAGGTAGCCAGCTGTCCATTTGTTGCTTATGAATATACATTAATATGTGTATGAGGGCGCATGTGTATAAGTCTGTATATAAATATTTGTGTGTGTGTGCACGAACAAATACAAACAAATACACACATACTGTTAACAGTCTACACATTCATTTTGTATTTAAGCATCATTAATTATTTAGAAAAACAGTCGGAAGTAAATGGTTTATAACGGTAATTGAGACATTTTCAATAAGTTTCAAAGCGTTTTTGTCAGCATACAAATTATTTTGTATGTGTTCGAACATTTTGAATAATGGACAAATTTCAAATAATAAATGATTATAAATAAATAGTAACAATAACACAATTTAGAAGGGCTATTATTTTGGACAGCTCAGCAATAATACAATTATTATTATGTAAATAATGTCAGATGGATTTGGTTGTCTAAATAGAACGGACCAAGAATTGTGTATCTATTTCATTTACCAATGACAATATTGGTTATCTCCCACACTACTTGTGTATTAGCTATAACTCATAGTTCTTGTCTTTCTGTTTATTTTATACTTTTCCAAGTTCTAAAATTATTATAATCATCAAATTTACTAAAGTTTTAAATAAAGTTGGCTCTAGTCGATTAAACTCATTTAAAATTGACTTTTTGAGATAGCGTACGTAACGAGAGAGGTCGTTGTAGAGCTGGTCTCCTAGTTTCTAGGCAAAATGTGTTTATTTGATTTGTTTGAAATATCCGCCATATAATATAAGCAACACTGAATTTAATGATGAATTTTGTAGAGAATCATCAGATACCGAATGTTGACTTCACAAGTTTTCAAATGAATGCTAGAAAGCTGAGACAGAATCTTCACACCAAAAGCTACGATTGAAACGAGCAGGTTATCTTTATTAGTTGTGCTTGCAGCATACTCGTATATTTGGGAAGCTGGCATTTCGATTAGTGTATAAAACGTTAGAGTCTGCCCTCCTGTGGAAGTCAACTTTTCACCTGGTAACCTTTGTGTCTACACACAATGTACAAGTATCAAAAACGAATTTCATTACTGCTGGTTTTTAACACAAGCCGATCAAATTACTTATTGCAAACGAGGGTTTTAAATGAAATTGCCCAAGTCCTGTGTATTTCTTTTGACACTTATTGACTGTGTAAATAAAATTTAATTTTCTATAAAACCCATCACATTTTTGGCAACATATGCTACAAAGTTCATATCGAATTGTGACTGGTACTTAAACATTTTCAGAGCAAGTGAAGATTATATTGTTGTAAAGCGATTTAAACTTAAACATATACACATATAGTATGTATGTACATAGCTACATACTCGAACATACATGCATCGGCAGTTTCGGTAGTAAAATGTAAAAATTTGCGAAATGTTGTCGTTTGTTGATAAAATGCAAGCCCAGAATGCAATCGCACATACCTACTAATATCATTTCGTATACTCGTATGGGTATGTTTGCGTATTTGTGTTTGTGTGTGTGTGTGTGTGTGGAGCATATGTGCGGGCATATGCATAAAATGCCATAACGTTGTACATATTACGGCTTTTTGCACAAAATATTTTGTGTCATTTTAACATATTTTAGTTTACTTTTTGTTGGGTTGGAAGTTTTTGTGATTTTGTCAAGTGAACTGCCGCAGTTGTCCTGTCCTCCCGCCCCATCAACTTCCCCATTGTTGGTACCCATTTGCGTACAAGTATGTAATATGTGTGTGCTCTGGCCGTGCTAAAGCTGCCCAATGTTATCATTGTAAGTACGTCCGTCTGTGCGTCTTTGAGTGCGTCCGTATTTGTGCATAAATTTACGCATATGTATTTTTAATGCTCCGCTCCACTGACATCAACTGTCAGCATAATTTTTGTGGGAATTTGTTTGTGCCTACATTATTCCTGTTGTATTAAATTTTTGTTGGATAGATACTTGTATTTCTTTATATTCCTCTTGTTGAGCGTTAAAATTAAATTTACACATTTTATTTATTGTATACACGCGAAGAAAAAATCCATTCATATAATCGCCTTTAATTTGCAGCGATTCATATTTGGCTTCAACTAACATCAAAATAAAAGCTATACAAAGCTATAAGTCTTTATGATTTTAGATTAAAAATTCTCTAGTTTCCCATGTTAAATTTTGATACTATTTCTTGGATAATCTATTTGGATTTAAATTTTTGTTTTGTTTCTTTCCCATGTACAATACAATCCCTTCCTCTCATTTTAGTGTATTACTGAATAGGAAAACTATAAGCACTTACATCGTATTCTCAAGTTGACCAAAGCGCTTTGCGTCTCGCCGCGATCGTTGGCCGCCGAGCAAGCATAATAGCCCGAATGAACTCGTCCCACGCGCTGAAGAACCAGAGAGCGTGTGGAGATGATGATGCCCCACGAGACATTCTGGGTGACGGCCTGGCCCTGCAAGCCAAATAATGAAAATGATTTGGTTGGCGGCAAAATTTATGTGCGTTGGCGTTGGCCAGCATTTGCATAGCCATAAACTTGGCCAAGTTATCACCGTCGAGCAACTATGCTTTTACTTACATCGTGCGACCACATGATGCGATGCTCCTTGGGATTGGCTTTAATGTGGCACTCGAAGTAGACATCATCGCCCTCCTTGATGTCATCGGGACGCAGTGTGGAGCCCAGCGATAAGGTGACCTGTGGCGGGTCTGCAGGCAGAAATAAGTCGGAGGAGAGAGCAACAAAGTTGTCGTTAATAGTGGCAATTAAAAAGTGACGTAAATGAAACATTTTAATTGCATTTTTAATAAACATATTTTTATGCTGCACATTTTAAATTCAAATTTCTCTCGCTCTGGTTTTTGTTGTTATTGTTGTTGCTGCTGCCGCTGCTATGGCAGTTTTCTTTTCGAGCATGGTTTATGCGACACCGTTTTTAGCACAGCTCGTGTTATAAAAGTAAAATCGAAAAATATTATTGCATAATAAAATGGGAAATGTATGAGCCGACGCATCGCGCTTCGTCAATATAAACGACAATACCAACGTCGAAGAAAGCCCGTAAAAGTTAACAGCAACAGGAAAGAACGAAGGGGGAACGGGGAAGGGAAGTGGATGCCAACGACGACAATCCAACGATGTCGACAGCCAATGAGTATGACAAAATTTTTAAATTAAAATCGTTGCTGCGTGAGTGTATGCCAATATTGATGATGGATCATATAAAATTTAGTGTATTTTTACATTTATAACATAATGATGATATATCGGAGACTGTGTATACAAGTATTATGGACTTTAGTGCGACATTGCGGTGTCGGATATGGGACACAAATTGTTGCATGTCACATGAGCATTGTGAAGACTAAGGGAAATTTCAAGCAAATATTTAAAATGAAAGCCATCTATCTAAAATTTAAATATTGCATTGACTTAAGTCAGGATATTCTTTTTAGAATTTGGGAAGAAAATTAAAAACTAGCTCGACATCCATCTTTGACAACAAGTCCAGCACAATATTTTTTATTAAAAGTATTAAGTCATGATTGATATAATTCTATTAAATAATATTAAAAAAATAAAATAAATAAAAATATTAATTGATGCGCTTCTTTAGAGTCGCATTGAACACGGGTACTTATTGATCAACGCTCGTTCAATAAGCTTCTTCTCAAACAATTGATTTAATTAGTTTTGAATTTTTGCAAAAGTAATCATAATTATAATTATTGTCTCGCTGTATTTGGCTAAGGTACATCCTCGACTATTTATCTAGCTCCGAGTTTCCACAGGTTAAGTTAGGATGCAATGCATTGATAAATTCTGATGCCATACCCCAACCATCTGGTTTGTTTAATGACAGGATATTCCTCAATATGTAAATTATTTTTTGTCGTTGAGTTTATAAACCCTCTCCAGTATTAAAAATGAACAGAAAATTAATGAAGAAAGTCGTATGAACGAGGGAAATGTTCAAGTTCTGGCAGTGCAGGTAATTAATATTCTATACCCAACATTGTTGTAAGATTCATTCGTATGACAGCTATATAAATATTTAACCAATTTCAGTAAAAATTCAGAACACAAAATTCGGAAATCCAGAGTTGATTAAGATGTCTTATTAAGCAATAAAGTTTTTATACTATTAGCTTGATGTACTAATCTTTGCGCCAAGTTTAAAGAAACGTCGGAATATTATGAGACACTATACAAATTTTCTTGAGATATCTTTATAAAGGAAAAGGTGATCCTAGCATTAGTCGGTCCTATGGAAACTATATTCAATAATGAAGCTACTTGTATATATGGTCTGTAATTAACGTCTACATGACCAGTTTGTTGTAACTAGCTTTTATGGTTCAATTGCTCTTTATGCAAACAGTCGAAGATTTTAAGTGAATTGATTAATTACCGACTTTTATTCCTGATTCATACAACCAAAGTTCAATAGGGTCACAAAGTTATACAATCTTTTACAGACTACCCCCATCAAATCTTTTTATAGATTCCCCCACTAGTGGGACTTTACAAATCAATAAACCTATGATTATCTGAGCACTTGCAGTATGAAGAGAAACGCAAAGTCAAGCTGACAGCGATTTTCAACTACATTCGTAAATTTCGAATGCCCAACACCAAGCGAAATATTTGTGCAGGCTGCCTTTCAATTTTTTTATGACTTCATTGCTCTTCTCTTTTATGTTGGTTCATGTGTATTTTTTTGCGAATGCTCCACGCTGCCCAGTGACCTTTGCTGTTGGTGGGCGTGGCAGTTTTTGCAAATTGTTGATTTTAAATTGATAATCATATAAAGTAAAATTTATGGCGTTTTGTTGGCATATATGCCCAGCAACAACAACAACAACAGCGATACCAACCAACAAAGTAAAAGCAGAACAGCAACAAATTTTGCTGTCATTTTTTATGGCCAAGCTGAAAGTCAGCGAAATAAATATTGACACATGAGCAGCGATTGAATATGAGTGGGCAGAAGAGGGCGTGGCAGGGCTGGGCAAATATCGCTGCATAATTTAGACTTATTTGCGCAAGTGGCTTTGATTTGTGCGCCGTCTGGATAGCCCGACCTCCAACCCCCACCTCTGTCCCTGCCAGTGTGTCACCTATTCGTAGTTGGCCGTTTGAAGCCTTCGACATGGCAAGTTGCATTTATGAAAATTAAAATCGATTTTATATCTAGGGAAACTATTTTTTGTATACGTACACATCACGTTCAGCATGAGCGAGTCCTCGATGGCTGAGTTTTGTAATCTGGGATTGGAGCCCTCGCATTTGAGCATTGTGCCGTCGTCTTCGGGCTGTGGATAAAACGACAGGGTCGAGATGACGCGTCCATTGCCTTGGCTTGCTGACAGCTGAACACAGAAGAATGCAGAGATGTGAAATTGATTAGAAAAGTGGCCACGAGCCCGAGTCCGAGCCCGAGCCGGGCAGCATAGCAGGAGTATGTATATACATGTATAGATAGAATAATGCTTGTCTGCCTTCATGTCAGGCAAAATTCATAAATAAGCAGTCGCTTGACATTTGAATTGAGCTGGTGGATGCATAGGTAGGAAGGTAGGTAGGTAGTGCTTACCACGCCACGTTTGAAAGGTCGATTATTTTGTGTCCATCTGATTTCTGTATCCGGTACAGAGCCAGCCACAATGCATGTGAGATTATACTGTGTGCCTGACGAGAAGACCTTCAGCTTGTTGGTCAAATTGACTGATGTGGGCTTGACTATGAAAGGAAAAGATACATATATTGCAGGTGTTACCTATAGAGCTGTTTCAGACTTAAAGTCTGGCTACTTACGTAACATTTCGATGCGTATGCTGCGCTCCACGGGCGCCACCAGCTTCGTGTTGGACGCCTGACAGCGATAGGTGTTGTTTAGAGCCGAGCGTGGGATGTTCGGCACCTCCAACCGATTGACGGTCACATGCCGGCCCATGGAAACACCGCTACCCGCCTCCAGGGTCTGTGTGCCATTCAGCCACGTGACTGTGGGCTCCGGGCGACCTGTATACGTGTATATATGTGTGAGTGTGTGTGTGCGTGAGAAAATTTATGTTAATTGTAGGCAGTTAGTTGCGAAAACAGTTGCAGAAGTGGAGTGGCATAGAAAGTGTGGGGGAGACATGAAGCACTTGAAGCGCCAAGTGCCAAGCGTACGTTTCAACTTGAAAACTTAATAAAAACACACGCGCGACGCTCATTGCGCATTTGAAATAGAAATTAATGTTTAATGTACATATTAATTTTAAATTTTTGAATTGTTTTTGCCAACTTTTGGCTCATGCATTATTAACACAAACAACGGCAACAACGGAAGTGGTGCCACCGCACACAACGCGTTTGAAAATTTATGGGCACCAAAAAAACTTTAAGCATTTTAATGATAATGCGCATTTAGCAGAGTGTACCCATGGCCTGAGGAAAAAGGCTTAGCCAGCTTAACTAGCAAAGTTGCCAATACTGTGTCCTCCAGGAGCGAGAGAAAAAGAGAGAATCGTGCCAACGGACAGTCAGGCGCATAAGCTTGAATATTGAATTAGACCAAAAATGCAAAGCGTTCAGTTGGGTTCGAGAAGAGCCTGGTGAGGGGCTTGTTTATTCAAATTGAATTATTTGTAGTTTAGTTTGGGGAACTCTATTCCAAAACGTAGGATTACTGCTTATTTTAGAATTTATCAAATTTGTCTAAAACAATCTTCTCGAAGGAGTTTGCCGCTACATTTTAAAATCCAATTAGTTATCGATGCCTTTTAATAAAAGGTTGCTAAGCAATTTTGTTTAGTTTCGAACGTGCTCATTGAAGCTGAAGAAAAGTTTTGAAATAAATTTGTTTTAAATAGTCTTTTAAATGCAATAAAATACATTTACAATACATTTAAGTTTAATTTTTCACAGTGCTCACAACAATGGAATAAATCCCAGAATGCCCTTGAGCGTTAAGTGTGTTACGCTTTTATATCTACTTAAGACATCATATGTATTTATACGTTACAATTGTTGATTGTCAGTATGTTCCTTAGAGCCTTAACGAATGAAAGCGTAAATAATTGTATTGTACACATTTATGAAGGATAACATATTTACGAATACAGCATATACTCGTATGTGTAAACAAAAACACACAAAATATTCAGTTACATGTTTGAAAATATATGTAGACTCGAAAATTATTCACTTTTATAGGTTAATTAATTATTTAATGTATACTACTTGTTTGATGACTTATGATGATTATATTATCGTTTATTGGCGATGTTGAATGTGGTAAATGGACTGGCTTAACTTCTATCGAAGCTAGATGACTTTTCAGTGATAAAGACAAGGCTGCAAATGCGAGTGCTCTCTCGAGTTACTTATAATTTTGTACCTTTTTTATTGGCAATGCTTATGTTGAAAATAATATCACATTACTACATATTTAGTCAAACATGCCCGCGAAATTGTGCAATTACAATGTGAACGATTAATAATTCTATACTGAACTATATATAGCATTATTCAACAAAATACAACTTTGTGGTTATAATTTATGCAACTTTGTGTTCATTGAACTGGAATGTCTGCCCGTAGCTTACGTTTATATCAATCTAATCCAATGTTTTTAACGAATTTATCTTAAACACCTTTTCTAAACTCTGCTGACCTTTAAAATTCAGTTGCTATCGATTACGGTGAGTCGCCTAATCCATGAACATATTGTGTTTTATACCTTACGATAAATTTGTCGGCAATTCGTTGATGTTGATCAAATATTAATCGTGTTTTTTTATACGAGTCAGTCCGCCCATCATGCCGAGCCCAATTGTAAGTAAGTAAACTCAATTTCACTTACTTCCTCGCTCACACACATCAAATGTAGGAAATATTTTTAATCCGTTTAAGTGCCCAAAGCATTAGATGTTGGGTGAGTTAGAGGGTTTGGCGGCTCCGCCTCAGCCTCTGTTGCGACATGGCCATTAAGTGAGGCAAGTGAATGTGGCGGAAATGAGCAACAATAGCCAACAAGCAGCTGCGACTGCTGACGACTAAGCAGTCCAGGATGAAAGAGCGGGGTGCTGGGCTGTCGCATGAATTTACTGCCTCCGACAACTTAGCCCCAAATGTTTGTTGATTGCAAAGGATACGCAGCGAAGACATTGGTGACAATAAGCCAGCCAAATATACAGAACACACACGCGCACAATTACGGAACAATGGGACAATTACGGACAATGCAAGGATAATAGACAAATAACAGTTTCCTTCGGCATTCAGCGACGGAGCAACCATGAGAGACTATCTGTTTGCATGTGTGTGTGTGTGAGTGTGTGTCTGTGTGAGCGAATGAAGCTAAATGAAAGGCAGAAGCAACCATGAAGCTAAGCCATACTTAAGGTTGTTGACAATGCCGTTGGACCCACACTTGGCTGACCACAGAATTATGCATGGACTATGCGACAATGCCATAAAACCCGCTGCTGGGCCCAGACCCGCATTTTACGGCACGCTTAGATTAGCTTTTTACTGTCGGTATTAATTGCTATTAGCCGAACTTAATAAAGTTGATAAAGCAATTTGGCATTCTGGCGTTTACGTTTCCAGCGCCTCTCTATGATTAGTGGCGGGCCCATAAAAATAGCGTTAAGATTTGCATTTGCCCTAATCAGGCGTGCACAGCGGGTGCGTTACTTTGACGATGACTAAGACGACGACATGTGGCGCTGAAATTGCAATATTAGTTAATTTGCCTTAGCGCCCAACGGCGAGGATCCGCCTCGCCTGTATTCGCTTGCATAGCATATGCAATGCCGTACACATCAAGAAAAAATACACTCCATAACACCATAAACTTATGTTATAGAGATGTGCAGAGATACAGGATTGAGAATCTATTTTCTTGATATTAATGCATATATATAGAGGTATGTGCTACGATTTTTGGAAGCTATTATCACACCATCCCCAGTCGTTTTTAATTTATAACTACATATAACTTCTATAACTTGTTCTAAACTTTCCCAATTTAAAGTCCCTATATTTTACTAGAAGTTTTTTTGAATTTTCACAAAATCTAATCAGTAATTCATAACAATATACTCTGTAATTCATAACAATATACTTACATTTTTTCAAAGCTATGCAATTTTAATTATTATTATAATTTATTTGAGTCCAATTGATTGCCCATTCGGTGAGCACAATGAATGAAATCTGATCTATATTATTTATCTATATAGTATTTATAAGACGTTTAGTTAAGTTAGTCGAATATCATTTTAAAAAGTATTAAAGTGGCTTTTTTTCTGTGTAGCTGCTTTTACGCATATACTTGTATGTACGTAGCTTGGTGTCGCATCAACTGCCAGTCGAGCACGATGGGAAAATTTTGCATACAAATCAACGCCGCCCCACGCTGAATGTGCGATAGCTCATGGGTTGGCAGGCTTGGCTACCATTCTGCCAGTTTTAGAGGCTGCCACCTGCCAAGAAGCGTGTCGCTCAGCAGGTGTCAAAAGCAAATGTCGTCGGTTGCCTCGCACCCCCTCCTTCCACCCCATGCAGCTACCTGCCGCCCACTATAGAGCCGGCAGGCAGCTGGCAGCTTAGCTCATTCACATGCGGCTAGTCAAAGCGGTGCGCGCTTGAGTACGTGCAGCTTTGTCAAGCGGGGGAGGGGGTGGGGGTTGGACTATGTAGATGGAGGTAGGAGGACAAGGCCAAAGCAACACCAGTAGCAAAACCAAAGCAAAGCAAAGGAAAGCAAAGCAAGTGAGCAAACCACCAAATGCCAAAAGTAGCAACAGTAAATCCTTCGCAGGCGAAATGGCGCACGTAAGCAACAACAGGAACAGCGACAACAACAAAAACATGACTAACAACAGTAGCTACTCCTACAACAACAACAGTCAGCAGATGTCAGCGTGTGCCGAAGATGAAATCACTTTCTCTGCATGTGCATAAACCAATTCAAAGTGGGACGTCAAGCACTGGTAGCTGAGCAGAAATTGTAATTCAAAGGAACTGTTTCAGAGGGGGCTTGGAACGCGCGGGACACGTTTGGAAATTTTATAACCCTTTTTGCTTGGCAATTTAAATTGTTGAGCCTTAATTTACAGAAATAGAAGCAATGTGGTGTCCATGCATTGTGTAAACTCATGACATCTATGCCTATTACTTTTTTACTCTTAATACTTTGCACCAATTTTCAAGCCAAACAACTTATAAAGTTAGTACTTTCTTTTAAACTAAATTTTTATACTATGTACTGTAATATGCCGGCCTGTCTATAAGAGCTAAAATAGCTGGGTATTCATATTCCCTTAGTCCTAAGTTTTTATTTTAAGTGAAATACACAGCATAACCGTGCTCCCAAAATTGTACATTCAAATTAGAATATGCTCATTAGAGCTGCTTAGTAGTTAGCCACGTTATAAATATATTTTTGCTGGCTGACATGGGCCGTTTTGTTGGCCCCTAGCTTTTAGCCAGCCCAAAAATTTTTGTCAGAAAGTTAATGATTTATATGGCTGTGTCAGACTTCAACTTCAGCGTCAGCGCCAGAATTCAGCAAACAGCATTAGCTAGCCAGACCGAGCAACTTGTACAAATTTTTCACACTTGTGTTAAAAGTTTACACTGCTGCTTTAGGAAACCATTTTGTTGTCTGTGTGTGTGCGTTGGTTTGTGTTCGTGTGTGTGTGTGTGTGTGTGTGTGGGCCTTGCGTTCTCTCTGCATCTATCTCCTTTGCTTTTTCACCTTGGGGACCTTTTTAAAGATTTACGATGCCGCATATGCCTACAGGTCATAGGTAGGTAGCCGTCGCTCTGCCATGCGACAAAGGGCAGGGGCGCAGACGTTGAAAATTGTTGCATTTTTCAAACTAAAGTGGCAATGACAGCCGCAGCGACAGGGATAGCAGTCGGTACCGACATCGGGGAAGATGCTTTGGGGCGCCTGGTGCTTGGTCGTACGCTTGGATGGCGGGACGGTTGGCTGGTTGGTTGGTCCAATGGTTGGTCCAATGGTTGGTTGGTTAGTAACGCCACCGCAGACATAGACAGCGCAACGTTCGCGCCCTGACATACATTTATTTTTATTATTTACGACGACTTGGGCCTCCAACCTCGACTGCAATGTACAGAGGGCGGCAGAGGTGCGATGGTATGCGGTAGTGGTGTACGCGTGACTCAATATGCAACCGGCATTTCTTGTGTTTGAAACATTGTTCATCACATAATATTTCTTCTTAGTCAATTGTAGTTGATCTCAATTAAAAAAATGTGAAACGCAGTAACAATTTTTTTCTGTTTTCTTATTTTTTTATACGTATACAGCTTTTTTTTCACAAAAATGGAAATAAACCTTTATATATAACTTCATTAAATTATTGATTGATGATTTCTCTTTGCTCATAAGCTTTACTATTTTATTGCGGTTCAATTTTAGAAATGTATTTGTATAATTTCTTAAAATGAATACCTTTTACGGATTTTACACATATATAGTTTTAGTACGTTCAAATCCGAAAGCTATTGAATCAGTTCTACATATGTTTACTGTGCAATTTAAAATAGGTAAAAATGTTCTCCATTTCGTATGCTGGACCGTTTTAGCTTTACAAATTTCTTGCATTCAATCAATTTGTTTTTATTGAATAGTTTTATTTATAGCTCATTAGATAAAATATAAGTGAAAAAACAACGATAATTGATAAATTTGGGAGATGATTGATAACTATCAAGTTATTTAGTTACTTCAGTTAGTTACTCTCTTTGTGACTCGACTCGCTTTGTTTTAATATCACATAAATTCATTTTTCATTTCTCATGATGGACATTCGTAATCGTTTCAAAATTGAAGATGCTCTGTTTTAATTTCCCATTTTATTATTAACTACACCTCATGCCCATCATTGGAATGCGCGCCTATCTGATTTTTTTTTTTCATCTTTTATTCTTTAAATAGAGTTACTAGAACGATTGTCCGCCTCCCTGCATGCCTGACTGTCGGCCTGATAGGGGCAGTTGCGTGTGCCGGGAGCGCTTGATAGCCTTTGTCTGAGTGCTATATTTAAGTAGCTCTCTCCCCCACTCTCCATTAATGTGTGTATGTGTGTATTTGTGTGCACTTGCATATGTGTTTGTCTTTGGGAGTGTGTGTGGGTGTGTGTGTGCGTGGGCGCCTGTGTCGTTTATCATGATTTACTTACCGCCACGCACTTCACATGTCAACACAATATTATCGCCCTCGAGCAACGGACCCACAGCGCCAGCAACATCACGGCCCGAGGCATCGTACACGAGTATTTGATGCGGAGGAACTGTGTGTAGTGTGCAAAAAGCATTTGGGTTAGATTGGATTGGATTACATTGCTTTGCTGCTGCATTTCGTTTCATGACGCAAAAATGTGCGTCTACTTACCAATAACCGTTAAATTAATTCTATGATTGCGCGTGGGCGAGTTTTGAAAGTCGACGCGGCAGCGATAAACCTGTTGCCCGCAAATGGCAGGACGGAAGGAAAGAGAGCGGAGTAATAAAATAATATCGTAGCATACATTTAGGCGTGCCCATTCATTACTTACGCCCTCATCATCCAGCTGTATATTGTCCACGGATAATTTGGCTGGCTGTTGGCCAGTCACAAAATACGCACGTGGCCCAAATGAGTTGGTATCTGACCAATAAAGTGCCTTCTCGAAGGGTCTGCCACGCACATCGAAGCTGAAAATGAAAAATACAAAATGTATATTTCAGCATGAATGTTGTTAGTTCTTGTTATAAATGTTTTTGGTTTTTTTGCTATTACTACTATCGGGGCGCTAAGGAAATGCAAAAGACCAAATGTTGCTGATAAGTTTTGTCACCAGAAAAATGCCTGAGTACTTTCAGCAGCGCTCGTGCTCCAATCGCTTCTCAGTCAACGCAGCAGTTGGCGTCGAAGCCAACGCCGTAAATTTTTACGTAGTATTTATTGGGGCACTCGCCAGTCCGCCTTAACCGCGACTGCTTGGTCGCCTTGCCTTATGTTTTGCGTATAAAAATTGCCCGCCTTAATTTCAGCACATTTTTCAATTGTGTCTGTGACGTGGCCGGAACGCCCCCATCTCCCCAACCAACCGCCGGCTGTCCGGAAAAAAGCAACATTAGCAACGTTTACGGCCACGGTTTTGCGGTTGGGGCATTTTTCTTTCCTTACTTTTCATGTATGTGTGTGTGTGTGTGTGTGGAATCGACAACAATTCGACAAAAAGCACAAAAGACTGCGGTTGCCTTTGAATGCTCCTTGTTGTGTCTTCTGACCACCATACAGTGGAATATTTGAAGCCGCATTTTTGCAAACATGCAAAACCAAACAAATGTTTGAAGATCATATTTCTTAGATATTTCTTTAGAAATATGAACTTTTGAAAATGTTAGGAATATCAGCAAGTAATTGGAACTTAAATTCATTCTAAATAGCTTACTCTAATGTCGTTGTTTTCTAATTATATATTTTCTTTGCAATTTGCTGAACTATCATCATTTACTAGCTTATGCATTGTTTTACATGTAAGTTATTCAATACTTAATACAAAGAAATATTCCGAAACATCGCTTTCCTCCTTTCTTCTCAGAAACGGAAAAAAACACACCTTTATCCAAATCCCACCCGAATCTTTTACAAATAGTTAAAGAAATGTAAACAAAATAAATGGTTCGCCATACATAGAGATTTATTTGTAGGATAGGGAATTAATTCTTAATCCGTCTACAAAAGTAAAAAGCATAATAAATAGATTATAATTTTTATAGAATTTTACTAGATCATACGATCCGATTCGAACTCTGAAATACTTAGTAGCATATTACAGAAATGTCTGACTAATGTTAAACAGTAAAGCAAATAATTTATACTACAAATAACTTACATAGAAGCCATTCAGTATTACTTAAATCTGATTCACTATACATACATTACTGTTTATACGAGTATTGATGTTTGCGTCCAGGGAAATTTGAAATGTGACCACTGTACAGCCACCGTGCAGCGCAATAAGTTTTAGGGGGAGAAGTTCATGTAAAAAAGCAGCTACAAGCTAATAAAAAATGATATAAAATTGCCGGCCCCGGCTATGGCTTTTCAAAAGTAGCTCATCGGAGGGGCCTGCCAATTGGCTAGGCCTGAAATTTCACGCGTCTACAAAATGACCCTTTTCCTGTGCCCTGCGCCAGCGCCTGTCTATGACCCATGGCAACGACCTAAGCATAAATTTACACGCAACTAATTTCTTCCGTTTCGCATTATTTCGCAACTTGCCACCAGCACCCCGCCCCCACGAACGTTCACCTACCACTCAGCGCATATAAGGCGTGCAATTTTTCGCATTAAAAAGCCTGACGCGCTATCTTTGGCGCTTTTATTGTATTTGTTAATGTCTGTCCGGCAGTGCGACAGGCCGAGCCCCACACCACACCACCCCGCCTCGCCCCAGTTCAAACCACAACCCGCAGGCGACCATACAGAGCACCAAGTGCCGCAAATGACTTGGCAAAGCAAAGCAAAGCAAAGCAGGACGGTCCGAATCAGAGTCTCACACAGTCAGGCAGCCCGCAAGTTTTGTCCTTTTGTTATTTCCGTCTTCATCGTTGTTGTCGTCGTTGTCGCTATCTGTGGCATTACTTTTGCCTTTGCCAGTTACACTCAGAAAAAATACATTTCAAATTTCAATCAGCGAATGTTATCAACAAACGAGGTATCAAACATAATAAACGCTTGCAGAAAGAGGTCGATCTTTTATTGTTAATAAATCCACAATATAGATTGGTACTTAAGTACATAATTATGAATATAACACCACGAAAGGAACTATTACAGTGATAGTTTTAAAATAGCACTATGGTATGGTAAGACGAAACTCCATTTCAGAAAATTTAATGCTTGCGTTTTTTGGAACATATTTGTGTTTCCCTCCGTTTGGCCTAGAATCATGATCGGTGTTTACATCTAGGGTATCACCAAGCGCATTCAGATAAATCGGGCTAGTCCAAGCTATATATTCCGACTCGTAACATTTGCAAGCAAAACAAGGACTGTTAGTTAGTACTTTAGTTGCGTTCGGGTTAAAACTATAACGTTTATTATTAATGGAATAGAATCGAACCATTTCTAGACGCTGACGTAATGAGAGGAAGAGAGTTTAGCGAGACAGTCTAAAAGTAAAGAAAAATACTGAATTTTGTTTAAACAGTGGGCTGAATCATCAATAAGAAAATTTGTGCAAAAAAACAATACAGAAACATAGATGAGTCGTAATAAATAACTAAATAAATATGCATATATAATATTTCTAGGGTGGCCGATGTTCTGTTTTTTCTGAGTGTGCCTTTGTTACTGACTCTGGCTCGAGCTCTGACTCTGACTCTGGCTCCGTCTTCGTCTCGTCCTTGGTTGCGGCTGTGGTTAGTCGAGCGGTTTGTCATTGTGCCGGCTGCCTTTGGGTGCCAGCAGTATTGTTTGCGCCTTTAAGTGGTTTTTTATCATTTTGCCGCTGACACAATTTATATCCGGTGCTCATATTTCTTATGCTTATCATGCAGTGTGTATTTTTCCACCCCACCTCTGGTGGGTGGCCTCCCCCATTCCCTTCTGTTGTGCCATGTGTTGGCCGGTAGCGTGCAATGCGTTCTTATTTACTTATTTGCCTGGCAGACACGTTTAATTATTTTTAAAGAGCGTTAACCCAAGCCTATAAATTGCGTTCTTTTTGAAGAGACCCCACTTAAGCCTGGGGTTACCCAGAAAGCTATGCGTATATACATCCATTTAGTTTTGGACGCCTTCTAAGCACGTTCCCTAATTAGCCAAATTAAATATATGTGCGAAAATGTCAACAGAGCCCATTGGCGGGCGAACAAAGGACGATTTTACGCACTTGGCCCTAAAATTTATTTCAGGCATTTCAAAACGTTGTTAGGCCCGTGTTGGACGTCTAGGCTTTGTGGTATTGCTCTCACTTTTAATTTTGCGCATTTGCAAACAATAGGGAGGGGGAGAGAATAGAAAAGAAAAACGTCGAATAGTCAACAAAGGCAGCGATAAGGCGTGCGATGGTTGTGGGGCAGAATCTGAGGAGGGGTCAATGGGCACGCTGTTAGCGGTCTGCCCGCTGTTGACGTTGTGTTTTCTTCTTGTTGGCCTTAGGAAACAATAATGCCAAGTTTGCACAATGAGAGAAGCAAAAGGCAGTAGTAGCAAAAAAAAAAAAAGAAATAAAAAATAGAAGAAACGACAGCAAGGCAAAGGCAAAATGCTCTAGCAGTAAAAATTGCAAAAGAAGCGAACGGCTAAAAGGAAAATAAAATGGGGCAAGCAGTAGCAGACAACATTGTGGCAGTTGCAGAAATGTTGACTGTCGTCATCGTCCTCGTCCTCCCCATGCTCGTGTCTTCATCGTCGTGCCGAGTGGACGAGACGCAGACGCGTGTTTGAAGAGTTTGCCTTGGGTTTTCTTCTTGCTGTTGTTTTCCTTGCCATTGTTTTAGTCTCTCACTCTTCCTCTCCATCTTTTTTTTCCAACAATTAGTTGAGTTTTATTTATTTTGCGTTAATTGGTAGCACTTTATCTTCTGCCTGAATGAATGAGGCACGTTGTTTAAACAAAACGCTAGCGCAAATCCTACACAGCCTTAAGAGGAGCGCACCCTAAAGGAGGGGAAGGCGTCTAGCATTGGTTGGTAATTACGTTTTGGCCTCAGCATTTGTTTGCACTTGGTCAGTTGTAGGCCAAGTGTGTGCAGCATCTCATCTCAACACAGTCCCTCTCCCCTTCTCCAGCACATACTCAACTTTACGCTTAAGCCAGCACATGGTGCTCCAAATCCAATATACAAAATAAAAAGGGCACCTTCTTGTCCCTGTGCACGCTCATATTGCCATTTAATGTTTTGCCTTTTCACTTTGTAACGCTTACGAAATCCTATTGAACAAAAAATTGCAAAAGGGCTGAACAAAAAAGGATGAAAGTAGCTGTGTGCGTGTATGTGTGTGTGTGTGTGTGTGCGGGCGATGTGAGGAACCCTGGACGAAACTTGTGTGACGGCGACAATAACCATTGAATAATTTTATGACAATATGTGTCACAGCATGTGAGTGAGTGTGCATGTGTGTGACTGCGTGAGTGTGTGTGACTGGGTGAGTGTGTCTGACGGAATTTTTTGACAGTTTAAACACATGCTCGTGCTGCTTTCGCTGCCAATCCTCATTTCAACGTCGCACAATGGGAGATTTGCTGAAAGAACGCATGTAAGTACTGCTCTGAATTAACTTTTAATTAAAATACCTTTGTGGTAAATTGAACCAAATTGGACACTTCAAAATCGTTTATTTCGATTTAACATGAATTACTATTGAGTTGGCTGTTTCGAAACAACTTCTATGCGATAAAGATCTTTATTAATATTGTTTTACAGACTGCATCTAATGAATCATAAATTTCATTACGTTACTTATTCTTATCTACGTGATATCAGACTATCACTAATTTCTTCATTTCTAAGTACAAAATCCCAAATGTAAGTATAACTAAATATCTTATAACTGGCACTTTTAAGTATCTCTTTTCCCTCTCTTTTAATACGAGATTATATTTGCTAGGATGTTATAATAGTGAACCACTGAAATTTCGATTTAAATACTTAACGAGCTTTACCACTGTATGACTTATTATTTTCAAATGCCCGCA